TTTAAAATTACCTTGATTATGCCTTTTGCATTAGGTGTTTTTTACCATCAGGTCCTTGTGGAATAAGCTCTAGAGTATTTCCACTTTCTGTCACAGATCCAAGCACGACACAAGTGCAGTAGGTGACCTGCTAGAAAATGGTCCCTTGTGGACAGCACTGTATCACCCCACAGCTCTGCTTGAGCCTGGTCTTGAAATCCAGTTTGAAACCTTGTGAGAAGTAAATTCTATCTGATTGGAATATTGGATTAAATGGCATTTTCTCATCAGCATCCACCTGGGCTCCACTGCACAAATACTTTAGGGGCACTGTCACTACCCAGAATATTCATGTGTTCAGCCTTTAATCTCTGAACTCTGTACACAATGGAACTTTTCAGAATAGCAAAGCCAAGCTTAATTATGCAGTGAAACATGCTGGATGTGCTGGTCAGGTCTTGTTCCTTGGGGTCGTGCAGTTTGAAAGTACAGCTGTAGGCAGTTTGTAAAAATTGCTTCTCTTTTCCTGCTAAGATACTGTCACATCAGCCACGAGCATTTGCTGCCATAATTTATTGTTTCTTCCCATACTGAGTCAGAAGGGTATGCATTTTTTTCTTCTTGGTTAAATTAAACAAATCAGTCATTTCACAGAAGTTTCCAAATGAAAGATTGTTGTAAGCAAGACCAGATATGTTCTTTTACAGATCTGGGGTTCAAAAAGAAGAAAAGAACAAGGAAGCTTGAAAAACAGCTTACAGTTTGCTTTGGGCTAATTAGATCTTATCAGTGAAAAGACAGATATTTCTTTCTTTAGCATGATGCCGTGGTGAAAGTTGACCCGGTGTTTATGAAAGAGTATTACACTATGAAAGAACATTGCACGCTGCTAGAACTATGGGGTTTAAATTAGTGATCCTCATAAAAAGCCTGATGTGAAGGTGTGTGGAGCACTGGCTTTCAGAGCACACATGTGTGTGCTATTAAGGTCCCGGGAAGGGAGCAATTACAGGACCTTTGTCATTCATCTCAGATGCTGTGTTAGAATGTTTTTAATAGGAACTTGTCTTGCTTTCTTTCTGACTTTCATAGAGGCAAGAAATAAGACCCCCGAGGGGAAAAACACTCTACCCTAACGCCTTGAATACTTGAACTCTGAAGTCAGTAAAGCATGACTCTATCTCTCAATATTGGAGCTTTAGCCATGGTGTTATCCTTGGCTTCAGCACCTACCAGCAAACTGGGGACAAACCAGTATCTTTAAACATCACATGACTGCAGACTGACGAATAAAGAGAAAAGCCCCTCTTGCCTGCAGCTTAGTTATGACAGTCATGTAGATCTGGATCTCCCTCTGACAGATCAGCCCTCTCCATGCTGGAGTGTGCTCAGGATTGGCTGCAGGGATGCTGTGACCTCCTGCTTCTGCTGGGAAAAGTCTCTTACCAAAAAAAAAAAAAAAAAAAAAAAAAAAGATTTCCATCTATCCCTTGGAGGTTAGAAAAGTGACATTTCTGAAGGTGTCCTGGGGTCTGAAATGTATCTCAGCCTCCCAGGAGCCCTCAGCAATGATCCATTATCCCATTCAGTCCTGAACCTGTCTCAGTGCTGGTAAATCTGTACCTTTTCTGTCCCCATTAAGCCTCAACAGAGGGATTCTTTGGACTCTCTGCTGTGCTGCCCTGGCTTAAGTCATTCTCATTCCCCTCTCTTTCTCTGGCTATCTGTTGTAGACCAGGAGTTGATGAAGGCCCTGACAGATCTCAGCACTTTCTGTAAATTTGTTCTATTTTAATACCTAATATTCTCCTGAGGCATTTGCTTTCAAAGCAATTAGACATCTGTCAGCACCTTTGCTAGATTTCAAGCTTTCATATCAGTATCCTAAGGTGGAAATAGCATTCCAGTTGAAAAATCATAGCTCCTAAGGTTAGAGTTTTTCAGTGAGTAAATCTTCTTTAAGCTGTTGAATGCAGCTGCTGCCTTGACAATTTGTGAGTTTATTTCCTTCTGGATATCCCCACTGGCTTGCATGTTACTGCCAAGGAATGTGAATGGAGGCATTTTTGTCTTGCCTCTGCCTTCCTAAGCAGTGTTTGAACTGGGAGTTACAGGGGCTCTCATTAGCTTCACTTTTTGTAGCTGTTTATTAACCACCTCTATTTTACAGTGCTGAGCAACCCTTTGATCTTTGCATGGGGGTGAATTTCCAGTTTACAGTGCTGGTATTGTCAGTTTAGGGCATTATGGTTAAACTCTGTGCATTTTGCACATGCATTTTTGTGAGAGTGACACCACTGGCACTGGTGGAAGGGAAGATCCACTTCTTTCTTTGGCACCAGCACCTCTGCTCAGCCCCTTGTCCCAGCCCCAGCTTCCCAGAGGAGGCACATTGCTGATGGGTCTTCTCTGGTGAATCCAGCCCTGAAAATTGTTCTGTATGATATGGTTCCTTGCTTCACAAACATCTGGGAACACAGAGTCCATAGCAGTGCATTTAGCTATCCAGAGAAGGAGAGGAGGTATTTATGAGAATTTGCTGTGCAGTTGGAGTTGGATTTTTATGCCTTTTTTAATGATGTCCTCTTCTCATAGTGCAGCATGAGTAACAATCCCCCCTTTGTATGTATTTCGTATCTATTCCTATTTCCTATTGAAATTCCTAGGAAAGAGACTATCCAAGTACTGAGTTGAAAATTTCGTCTTAAAATAAGCCAGATGTCCAACCTTCCTTTAGCTGCCAAGCCCTAAAGAGTTCAAGAAAGATGTTAAAATCTGTCTTGCTGGCTGTGAAAAATTAATTGCATAGCATAGGTGATGATCCCAGTCTCCCAGGAGAAGGAATAAAACTGCTTCAGGCAAAAGCTCTGCTGTTATTTGTCTGAGGATTGAAATTGGCAATGTCTGTGGAAAAAAGTTTCATTGCTTGCCCTCCTTGCTGGTTAACAAATGCAGAGACAGGAGCACAGACAAAGGTAGGTGAGTGTTTGTGTGTTGGTATCTGAAAACCTAATTCACCTTAGGAAAAAATGCTGGTTTTGTCCTCTTTTCCCTTCTTTCTCTCCATGTCCTCCCTGTTAAGAGCACAGGGAGTGCTTAAAAGCCAGAGACAGAGGTTTCAGACTCACTGCTAGAATCATGTCAAGGAAGCCCATGGCCTGAGTCATTTAATGCCTGTGTGATAACACCAATTCTGTTTGCAAAATGGATGTACAGTTCCCCTCCCAAAGCAAAGAATTTGTGGAGGATTAAGGTTAGTAAAGCACTGTAAAGACTAAAAGCACTGAAATCCTGAGGATTAAAGGTTGCATTTGACTGGTGAAGTGGAAGGGCCTAATAGTTGCATTTATCAGGATGAAAATAGTGCACTTTAAATCCAGTGGCCGTGCCTGACTGGCTTCCAGGCTGGTGGAAGTCACTGAGGGCACTCAGTGCTGGGAAAGAGCTGAGGGACACACAAAACTAATGTGTGATCTCACTGCATAAATTCAGATTGTGAAGGGGATTTAAATCAGGGACTTTAATTGCTGATTTTTGGAAGAGCTCACTGTAGGGCAGGAGAAGGGTTCATTCAGCATAATCCTAAATATTAAAACTAGTGCTGAGGTATTACTTGACAGTGATCAATTTTTTATGTAAATTGAACACCTGAAAAATCTAAGTGTAAAAATATCTGTCATAAACTGGTATGTTGAACCTTAATGGGAACAAGAAGACTGTAAAGAAAAAAACCCAAACAGCAGGGGTTTCTTGTGATACTTCCAGACCACAATGACCATGGCTTTGCTGTATTTACCACCTTTGGATGTAGAGGTGGAGCCCTGTGTGCATCCACATGTTCTGCCCTTGGATCCAGGTCTCACAAGCATCCACACTGCACACACAGGATTTGTACCTGGACTTCAGTCCAGCCTCACTGGTGCCCATCTTCTAAACCTCTCCAATATTTGGCATCTGTCTTTTGAGAATTACCTCCCTGAGGTGATGGTATTTTTCATAAAGCTCCAGTGCCCTGATTTGGTGAGAAACAACAGAGGACAGAAAACATGACCTTTTTTACATCATTCTATTGATACCTCATGGGCTTTCCCTCACCTCCTCCACTCCCCATCATTTGCTTGTGTGTGGCTTTAGCAGAAACAGGAATCTTACCCAAGTCTTGCAAACCATTGTTTCTTTATGTTAAATACAAGGTTCTTTTATTGACTCCAGCTGCTGCACCTCCCTGTGCTCACTGTGTTTGCTTTATTAAAATTGAACAGCGTGCAAGTAGGACATTGTAAATCACAAGTGACTGGGCCAGAGGAAGAGGGAGGGAGAGGGAGGGACTCTGATTGTATGACAACAAAGAGAGCATATGAACAGGCTGGGCCTCCTGGCTAATAGCAGCCAAAACTCATGAGTACAATTTGCAATTGCTCCCAGGAGGACAGGCAAGTGCCAGACAGTTAGCAGGGATAGATGGGAGTGAGTACTGGAATACCTGATGTGTTCTCTCCCGAGCAGAGCTTTCCAGAGGTCTGGGCACGCAGGAGCTGCCAGCCTCTGCTGTAACCCTGAGATTTACCCTGTGTCCATGCCTGGCTGTGGTTATCCTGGCTGTGGAGCTAGACCATCCAAGTCTTGGAGAGGGCTTTTAAACCAAGTACCACCAGATCCCTCACAGTGAGGGAGGTGGAAGCTGCTGGTCCATAATTAAGCATTTCACATTTTTCAGCTTTGCCTCTTCATGACTGGTGGGGGAAATTGCATTTTTGTCTGCTAAAACCCCATGGGCATCCACAAGGGACAGTCAGAGCAGGTGACCTCAGGGCAGTAACACAACAGGTTCCTTCCTTGTGCCCGGAGAGTTCCTCTGCTCACAGAAGGTGCAGAACCACCCTGGACAGCACAGCAGCCACATGGAGGGTCCCTGGCTGCCAGGATGAGCCCTCAGCACCACAGTGGCCGCACCCTCTGCTGTGTCAGTGCTGTTTCTGTGCATGTGCCATGGCAGGAACGCTGTGTGCTCTCTCCTGCAGTGCTCCTCCACGTGCGGCAAGGGGCTGCAGTCGCGGGTGGTGCAGTGCATGCACAAAGTGACCGGGCGGCACGGCAGCGAGTGCCCGGCCCTGGCCAAGCCCCCGGCCTACAGGCAGTGCCACCAGGAGGTCTGCAACGACAGGATCAACGTCAACACCATCACCTCACCCAGGCTCGGTGAGTCAGGGGCCTGGGGGGAAGGTGCCAGCTGCCCAGGGTGCCCAGTGGGGGCTGCGGGGATTGTGCGGGGCCAGAAACTGGGAGAGGCTGAGGCAGACTCCGGACTGAAGGTGTGGTGTGGGCACGTCCTGCCTGACCCCTGCCTCAGGCTGGGCCCAGTGGAGTGCTTGGCAGAGGATGGAGCTGAGAGAGCAGCAGGAGCACACAAATGGTGGGTGATTGATGGCATTGATTGGCTGGCTGATTGATTTATTGATTGATTGATCACAGAGGTGGGGGAGCTGGCAGGTGCCTCTTGCTCCATCACAAACCCTTCCTCACACTGCCCGTGCTGCAGTGAGTGTGAAGTCAGATCATTAATTCATTATGCCCCAAGAAAATACATGACCCTGACAGGTGGTTTGATGAATTGATTTACCCAGGGGGACAAGAGAGCATCCAGCCTCTTCCTGTAAACCCTGTGATTTTCTGTCACTGTCCTCCTCCTCACCTTTCCTGCATTCTTTGTGTCCCTGGCTAAGATGGGAGTATGGTGATAACCATCTGTTTCCTGAAACACCTTAACACTGTATTTAAGACATGCCACTAGTCAAGAATGCCTCTGTTAATACAAATTTGTGGGATCTCATGATTTTCCACATTGTATTTCCTTAGTTTATAAGGGGATAAAAATATAAATATACTAAAAATATATTTTTCCAAACTTCAGCCCTGTGTGTTCCACCACAGCTCCAAGAGCCAAGTTGGTTTCTTTACATTTCACACATCATCACCAGTAAGATGAAGCTAAATTAAGGCATCAGCTACACTGGCACTGCCTCATGGATGCCTCCTGTCCCCTTTTGGTACAAGAGGCTGGGTTCTAATCAAGAAGAGGTTACCAGAAGGAGCAGCCTCCTCTGTCACAGCTGAGCTGATCTTACAGGCTAAGAAACCTCAAACACACATGAAAACACAGAGGTGCTAAATAACAGAGAATAGTACTGTCCAATAGTGCTGTCCAGTATTAAATATCACTTTAACCAGGACTGGACTTGAAGCTTCTGAAATGAAATTTGTTCTCCGAAAGTTTACCAAATGTTTTAAGAGAAGATGGGGACTTTCATTCTTGCAAATGCACTCATGCTGAGGGGCTTCTAACCTCTTTTGGTATGAGAGTACTTCCCAGATATTTTAGCACTAAGAGCAGAGTGAAAGAAAAACATTTCATTTGAGAAGTAAGCCCTTGATACACTGATGAGACAAGAAATCCATCCTAATTCACGTTTTAGGACAAAGCAATAAAATGCTCATGTGTTTAGAAGACTGAGGAGGCTCAAGTCCCTGCTGAAAGTAATCTGCAAGCAATTTGGGATGCTTTTGTTTCTAAACCAGGCTTGGAATCACCAGGGCCAGAAACAATGATATTTGATATTAGTAGAAAGACATATCATTGAGTGTTTTGCTCTTTTTGCTTATAAACAATTCTAATTTGATTATCTTTAAACAGAATTTTCTGTTTTCTGCAATGGGAGCATCAGCAAAAAACAAAACAAAGAAAAAAAAAGAGAGAACAATTCTAGTAGCCTACAGACCCCATGCTGCCTTGTCCCTACTTCAGAATGGTTTTTTGTCTTGGATAACATTTCCAAAAATATCTAAGTGTGGAGTTCACCTCACCTGACTTCTATGTCTGTGTTCAGTGTCTCTCATTGACGACACACTCAGAGGAATTTTTTCTGTCATTTCTTTCCTGTCTTCCTTCACAACCTGTGAGGGACATTGGACCTCTGAAATATTAGTCCTGGCCTTGTTTGTGTCTTAGTTCCTGTTATGTGAGCTCTCCCATCTGATAAGGTCTGTCTCAGGTGTTCTTGCCAGGTGTGTGTGATTTATTCATCTCCATCCCATTGACTGCAGTCTGGAGTTCATGACCTTAAATCTGGGCTGAATCTTTGGATGTTTTGTTCATCCAGGCCCGTTTGCCTCTGAGATAAAATAGGTGCAACATGAGGAGGTTTGCACTCCCCATTCATGCCCAGGGAAGGAAGGAAGCACTTCCAAGACCCCCGATATTTTGGTAGAGAGAAAATCCCCTGCTCTCCGTTGCCAGCAGTGAGCGTGGCCCTGCTCCCCTCAGCTGCAGGGCTCTTGGTCACACCTGCAGTGCTGTTCCCTGGCTAATCTGGCAGTTTCTCCTTTCTTGTCTCCTCCCAAGCTGCCCTGACCTACAAGTGCACGGGGGACCAGTGGACAGTGTACTGCAGGGTGATCCGTGAGAAGAACCTGTGCCAGGACATGCGGTGGTACCAGCGCTGCTGCCAGACCTGCAGAGACTTTTATGCAAACAAGATGCAGCAGAAGAGTTAATGAACCTGTGCCACTCCTTAGAGTCTTCCAGCTGTTTGTATGTAAATCACAGACTAGTAGGTCTGAGTACTGGAACTTCATGAGTTGCTACAGCGTGGTGGATCCCAAAGCACACCTAAATGAGACTTGAAACTAATCCTACAGACTGGATACCAAAGTCATCTGCTCATCCACCTTAAAAAAAACACACAGAAAGGGTCATCTCAAGGAGCCAATCATTTCTGAATACTTTGACATCCTCACATTTTTCATTAATGCTTTTTTAATATATTAAATCACCAGCCACTGGATGGCTTGCTACCATTAAAGAAAAGGACAAGTGTTGCAAAGTGATTACATTGGATAAGGTTATGGGTACCTCCGTGGAGGAAGGCCTCTGGCAAAATAATTCAGCAAAGGTAGAGACATTACTTAATCTTTTAATCTTGGCTTTTATCTGTTGTTTTCAATTCCCAGCAGTTATCCCACTGCAGAGTGGGCTTGGAGGGACATGCATAAATGAAAGGCTTAGTTTAAAGAGAGGATTTTCTGTAAAAGCTTGTGAAAACTGATAGCAGAGGATGGACATCTCTGAATTTCCTACAGAAAACTGAGTATAATTATATCCAACATTCCAAGTCATAATTTTAGAGCCACTAATAAGGAGTGCTTTTCCTTCTAATTTTTAAAAACAATCCTCTATCTTTTCCCCAGAATAATAGAGTTTCTTTTATGAAACCTAATTTTTCTCTGAGCTTAATGAAATGGAAGCTTATTAACAGCCGTAGATAGTTATTTTTAAACAAGCAAAACCATTTACATGAGATGGGAGAAGCCAGAAATCATTTCATCCAGTACAGCTCAGTGAGGGATTGCTTGGCCTAAGCTCTCTCCAATTTTTAGAAGTCAATCAGATAATGAGACTGTTGGTTCTTATAAGAGGACTGTGAAACTGGATAGGGTTGGAACAGAAACTGAATTTGGAACAATCTTTATGAAAAGGATATAGTGGGGAGCAGAACAGGTGTTTCCTATCTCTGGGCTCTTTTATACAGCTGAGGTTATGTAGCTTTTGGAATAACCAGAAGTAGCCAGGGATGCAAGACATTCAAATTGTAACCTGGAGCTTGTGGGAAGCCAGAGGGCTCAGGCTTCCATTGATTGCTTTCAGGGATTGGGAATTTCCTCGGTGTCTTTGAATGCTCCCTGTGTCACTTCTGTGGTGCTGTCAGAGCACTTACAGGTGCTGCACACACAATACTCTGCCATGTCTCTGCACTTTAAACCAGACTCCTCTCTGCCATGTGAGACTTGAAACAGGAGCTCTGCCCAGGGCAGGGCTTGTCCCTTCCCTTGTCACACACATCAGTGTCTCCCTATCACATCTTGCATCGTTTCTCTTGTCAGGGCTCAAGGCCATGGTTGAGTTTCAGCCCCCTCCTCGTGGCAGGAGCAGAGCCCTTTGGATAATTGCAGCTTTGTACTCGCTCTAGAACTGTGTGTGACTCTTGGGCTCCTTGGGGCTGAGCACAGAACCAAGCCCAGCTACTCCCCCAGCCCCTGGGCCAGGCTGGCTTGCAGCTCACAGCTGGCCCAAGTTGTCTTTGTTGCTGTTGTCACTTTTTGTCAATGCAAGGAAGGATAAAGACTCTCAGTACCTAACAAGTCTTTAAAGCAATTTTTGCTTAGTACAATTCTTTCCATATCCAGGACCTCACTGGAATAACCTATTAGCATTTTATTAAGGGCTAAATTTTTCAAGCACAGGGAGAAATGTTCATCAACAGACTGACCCTGTGTGGGCTTCACATTTGCATCTGTGCTTGTAAGTGCAAATGAGTGCATGTGCACAGGGCTGGTCTGATGCACAAGGGCACATTTGCACACCTTTTTTCCTCAAGTGCCTGTCTCAAACAGATCTGCTTTCCAATGCCTCAGATGATTTTCTCTATCAGGGAAATGATTCCAGCTTGGTTTTTATTGTACTGGATTTTTTTAGGCAATTTATAATCAGGATTACACCTCCTTTTTCTGTTATTCCCACTCTGTTGCCCAGCCCAGAGGTTGAGTAAGTACTTAGCAAATAATCAAGGGAAAATGGCTAGCAGGGGTGACAGGGAAGATTCAGACAATACCAGGTGATACTCAATTTGGCAAATTAACTGGTGGAAGAACTGCTAATGAGAAAGTTCCAAGAGATTAAACAGAGCCCAGAGGACCTGGTTTATCTTAGTAATTCACAGTGGTGTTTCACCCTTTGCCTGTAGTGACACTGGGACTGTCTTTGCTGCCTCCCTGTCCCACAGCCACCCCTGAGTCCCCTGACACCCCTCACTCGGTTTGGAATTTGCTGTTTTTCTTCTCATGAGCAACATTTTCTCTATTACTTTGGCAGAATTGTGTGAATTATCATTGCTGGGAATCAAAGGTGCTTCTCCACAGCAGGGAACGTTTTCCTTCTGGTGCTGATCTGTGACCCTCTCTAGGCAAAAGGTAGGACATAGGAGAGGAAAGATTTTAGGTTTTATGTTTTTCAGTAATAATTCACTACTGGCCACTGTCCAGAACAGGGTGCTAGGCTCGTTAGACCTGTGGCCCAACCTGCTGGGTTCTGGACCCAAAGGACACTTGGGTCCAAGTTCTGGGTCCTATCAAAGGAAACAGGAATTTACAAGGATTTTTTTTCAACTGTATGAGCACTGAGAAAAAAACCACCTCACTTGCTCTCACAGCTCACAGACTAGCATGCATCAACCTTTTATTTTTTATAATCAAACCCCCCAACATTGATTAAGAACTGATGGCACAACACAGCTCCATTTTATTCAATTCTCTTACTTCACATCATGACAACCACCCCATCACATAACAGCCAGAAAAATAATAACAAAAAAATTTAATTCTGTTTTAATATTCCTGCACTTCTGGTTTTTATCACTTCATAGGAGCTTTACAGTGAAGTCACAGCTATGCCCTGCCCTCAGTTCCCACATTCTGGTGAAAAGAAAAGCTGTTTGTTTCAGTGTATCTATGACAATACTTTTCTTAGTTGTTCATAAGAGATTGATGCTCTTTTGATTACAGTGGTGGTATTTCCATATTGTAAACAATACTCTGTACTGTTACTAAAGTACTGTACATTTCTAGTTGCACAATTGTGTTATTGAGTGTAGATTCTCACTATCTCATGTATGGTGCTATTTTTTGTTGGTGGAAAAGAATCGTAGCAGTCGATTATTGCTTGATATTTTATTATAATACAGGGATATATTCTCCATGGCAATAATATCATTTAAGTTTTCTCATTACAGAGTGAAATGTATATATTTTTCCATTAGCTAATTTGCATATGTACTGTATCCATGGTAATTTTCTTCTTGGTGCTGGTTATAAATAGAAAAAGATAAAAAACAGTCCAACTGAATGGAACCAGTTGTAAATGAAAGCCAAAAAAAAAAAAAAAGAGGATCATTCCATTTTGAACAAATTGAATATGTTGAATAATAAATTTATTTTTCCATAACAATTTTAATAAGGTTTCTGAACTTGAAACAATAATACAAAGCAAACCCAACAGCATGTAAATTAGGAGAAAGGAGTGAAGCTGTAAGTGGTACATTATGCATCTGTGTAATACTGGACTGAGACTGGGATTTGGTTAAATCCAAGCCAACTGTTTAATTGCTGTGGTCGGTGTAAAAGGTCATTTGGCAGTAAAATTCTGGCACCTCAGAGTTCTCAGTGTGCTAACAAAACAAGAAATGATGGGTCTTGTCCTGGTCAGGTTGCAAAACAAAGCATGGGGATGTTAACACCTGAATGATGCCTTGCCAGGTCTGTGGTCAATGACACAACAGTCGAAAATTCCTGTCTGGGAGCAGCTGCCAGGCTCTGTTTGGGATATCTGTGAGTGTGCCTGGGCAGGCTGTGGGGAGGGGGAGAGGGATGTTCTGAGAGTGCTTTTGGGGAAGGTTGTTCTTGCTGTGCTGGAGCTCCACAGGCACCCCCTGACAATGAACAGTGCTGAGCATGTGGAAATTTATACTGGAGCAAAACCATCCCATCCATTGGGAAGGGATCTGCATAACCTAGCTGCACTCTCCCCTGGTGTGAAATAAATGGAATTACTTCAGTGCCACGTGTTTTGGATGTCTTTGTTGTAGGCACTAGCCAGCATCTTTGTACTGTTTAGCTCCCCCCAGCATGGTGAAGGTTGTTTTTGCAGTCAGGTACACCTGTAGGATCCTCTCCCAGCCTGTCTTACAAAGATGCCATCCTCTGTATCCCACTCCAGCTCAATTCTTGTTAAAAGGCCACTTGGAGGTGGGAGCAGCACCTTTCTAAAGCAGCCCAAAAACCCAGGAATATGGTGGAGTGATGGATTTGGCAGTGCTGGGTTGGACTTGATGATCTTAAAGGTCTTTTCCAACCCAAACGATTCTATGATTTTATAACAAACCAAAGCCCTCCTCCCACAATGATTTCCAGAAATGGAGCTTATACTTTAATAACAGGGCTAATTTACTGATCTCACACCAGATTCATGGCACAACACTGATGAGCTTCCCAGTTTTCTGAGGCAGCCTTGGGAGATGCCAACCCAGCTGCCACCATTCACAGCAGCAGCACTGCAGAAACTCCATCCAAGTGGTGCAGTACATTAACACATCATCGTGTTTGTGCCTTGCCTGCAGTCAACATCTGATTGCAATTGTTGACCTGTTTGAACAATAAAACCTAGCTCTAAGCCTGAGGAAGCCAAAGGGCTTTGCATTAAGCTGGGGTATGGCAGTGGGTGGGAGGGGTGTAAGGAATGCTGTCATACATTTGGCTTGAAATGTTCCTGGTATGTGCCAATATCTCTCCTATAAATCCAGTAGGATTATATACTTACTTTGCCTATTTTGCATGTATCTGTTTGCTGTTTTTCTCTTTTTCCTAATCCCCATTTCTACCCAAGCCATTGCCCTTCCCTGTGAGCTCAGTTGGGTTTCTTTTATTTAAGACACCTTAGCCAAGGTCACTAAAGGCACGTGGGGTCAGATGGCTCTGGTGCTCTGGCACAAGAGGAAGGTAAAATCCCTCCTCCCCCTCTTGGAGGTCACTTCTGTCTCCACCAACTCCACCTGCTCCTTTCACTCTCCTGGTGTCCATGGCAGCCTCAGCTGTCTCTGACAGCAAGCTGACAGCACCCTGCTTGCTCTGGAAGGAATTTTCCTTCCAAAATGTGGAACTCTTTATCCCCACATCAGCCCCATGCTCAACGACTACCACTGCTGAGGACTCTGCTCTCTGGTAGAGTGAAAAACCAAATGTTCCTTTGTGCTTTCCCCCAACACCACATGGAGCATTTCCATGGGGAAAGGGATGTATTCTTCTTGCTGGATAGTGTCAGTGCCAACACCAGTGTGCTGTGGAATTCCAGGATGTGTGCCAGATGTGCTCCCATTCCAGGTACTCACACTTCCAATGGTCTAAGGAAGAATGGGATGGGATGCTGCTCTCCATGTGGCCTGGAATGGAGGAAAACACTCATTTTTCACCAGGAGAGCACTGGTAGCTCACCAGTCTGCAGGGCTGGCTCCACCACCCCATAAACCAGCAGCTGCTGAAGGATCACTGACAGCTTCCTGTAAGGTCACTGCACACTGCAGCATCACTGGAGCCTTTCTGGAGCCAGGACGTCAAAGTACTCAGACTGCTGAGAGATCAGTGAAAAAGGGGAATCCTCTAACAGAGTCAGATCAGTGCAGCCTGGCCAGCAAAACCAGACAAGCCATTCTTGGGTTGGACTTTATTCATTTTCTTAGAAAAGACATTTGAACATTTTTCAGCTTCCATTTCTTTCCCCAGCTCCATACTTTTCCCCTTGATTTTGTCTCTGATGACAAAAGGAACCAACCAGACTGCAGCTTTGTTTGGCACCAAACTTCCCTCCTGAGATGATCACACAAGAAGTCTTTTATCACTCTGGGGGCTCTGAGCCAGAGCTGCTTGTGGTGGAAGTGGCTGGGACTGTAACCCTGGGCTGTGGTGGGATGAGTGTCAAGCTCGGGCTGTCAGCAAGGGGACCTGCAGCAGTTCCCTGCCAGGACACATCAGAACTCCTGAGTCTGCTTCCTCCAGTGCTGCTCTCATTAAGGAAAAGGTATGAAATCCACATCTAGCTTGAATTTAAAAATTAGGTGTTGTTTAAAATATAAATCCTGTCCAGAATAATGGTCTGATTCCTTAGAAAACCACTCCTCTGCTCCCTACTGCTCAATAACAACCTTTGGTTTTCTCACAGAGCTGGTGCCACCTGTGCTATGCTGGCTTCAGCACTGTCAGCTCTGTTCCATGCCCAGGTTTGTGTTGGGGAAGAAGGGCCCTGCTGGAATACTGGAATTCTGCTCTCCTCAGGCATCATCATCCTGGAGCTGCTCTTGCTCATGGCTTCTTCCCCCATCACATCACTGGCCAGTAATGCCTTGAGGAGGGGACAGTGACACTGAGCCCAAGAAATACTGTCAGCCACATTTCCCAGAGGGTAAGGAAGATTCCATCTCTTTTATTTCTTCCTAACCATGTTTTGCTGAAGAAACATTTTTAAAGGGGAAAAAGGAAAACCACATTGTTGTGTAAGCAAGATGGAAAAGAGCTTTCTGTGGGTTCCCAGGTATTCATGTGCCATTCTCCCTGCAACAACAACTCTGCCTGTGGCTTCCTGAGTGTTCAGCACGGGTGGTTTTGCAGCAGCTGTGTGCACAGTACCTTCCATCACAAGCCCTGTTCCCTGGCTGTCCCTATGGCTCAGTTTATTTGTGTGCAAGGCAACTGAGAGGTTATCGAGGCTTCCCATCAGCTGTACAAACTCACAGCAGCACCAGCTCTGTGTGTGTCCCTTTCTGAGAGTTACAGTTTGGGGGCAATCAGCTCTTGGGCAGCTCCTAGCAGAGATCTGCTCTTTCTGGTGTGTCTCTCCACAAGCTGCTGCCTGTGCTTATAGCACAAGCTGTGGGGCATCTGTAGCCATATGTGTAAGAAAGAAAAAGCTTATTTACTTGTTTTCAGCCTCTCCATAGAATGGTTCTAAAAGCAGAAGTATCCTTCTCTATGGGAGAAAAGAAGATAAAATTGACAAAACCACTCTCATATCTGTTAATTTTTTTGTAGATGTTTTTCAGGGTATCACTAAGTCTTGCCAGGCACCTCCCTTTCCTCCCCTGCCTTCCCCAAATGCTTCCATTTTTGGCTAAAAAATCCCAAGTTTGGGATTTTTGGACCAACAATGTCAGCCAAAACCCAGGCTCTCTTCTCTAATTTTTCCACTTAATTTTTCAACTATCTTCTGGCAAAGCAGAAGCACTGTTTTGATGGAAAGTTTTTCAACCAGCTCTGCTCATTAATTTCTGCCAGCAGTCACAGAACAGTGTCTCATGCAGGAGAGGAGTGTCTGAAGGGCCCAGTGTGAGGCAGGAATGAGTAACACTCCTCTCCCAACTCTGTGCCCCAGCCAGCTCCCTGCTCCTAATGAGAGACATCTTTCTAGAGAGGTTTCCAGCCTAAATCTCTCTTGGCAAGTCAGCTCAGTAATTCAGGTACTTTGCCAGGTTAGAGGAAGATGTGGGTGGGCATAGAAGGATCCCCTCTGAGCAAGGGACTCCCGGACTCTGAGGAGCCACGTTTTCCATCTCTTATCTACTTGGACTAATTTTGGACTCCTCCAGGCAAGCACCAGTTGGCAGGGAAGGGTAGGGAGGTGGGGCTGGTCCAGCTCCCTTTCAAGGCAAGTTTCAGTGTGCTTTAGTGGTGATGTTCAGGTACACCAGCAGCTGAGCCAGGCACAGCCATGAGCTGTCTCCATGTAACCCATGGATCTGCAGGGACAAGATCCTAAAGTGGCTGCTGGGCTGAAATGACAGCAGTACATCCATGCTGTGTGTCTGTTACCCATCTGTCCATGAGGAAGGTATTTTTTACACTGAGCTCAAGGGAATGAGCTCCTCTCATTTTTGGGCTCCTGTGATGACAGGAACCTGGGAGGCAAAGAAAGATGTTCTTACAGAGTAGCCAAATTTTTCAGTGTTTGGCCTCAGCAGCCAAATGAGCATCTGCCCATTGGCTACATGGACAGTCTCCTCAGGGAAAAGCCATCCCTCAGCAGTCCCTGCTATTTGCAAAGTGCTCTGAGCTCTTTCAGTGAAATACCTTCTAGATGTGCAAAAGTTTATAGCCCTTCTCTCACCATGGCTGATTTTAAAGGGTTAACTTAGGAACAGGAAATACAGTGACTAAAGGAAAGCCATTAATATTAAATTCTACCCTTTGCCAGATTGTCTTGTGTTATCTTTGCTCTTTCATGAAATATTTTCCAGTTTTCCTCGCAGGGCATTCCTTACAGGGGCAGCAGCTAAGGAGCTGTAACTTGGCACATCTCCACCTGCTTTTCTGTAGCAGTGCACATTTGTGCTCTGGGATTTGAAGAATTTCCTTTGCTTCTAGAATTGATATTCAAACAGTCAGCTGTACAGACATCAATCTGTCCAGTAGACATGCCACGTGACCTAAGGAATAATACAGGTGGTCAGCACCATGCTGGTGACTCCTGAATTTCTGGAGCAAGCAGAATCATTTTCCTATGTCAGGAAGATGGGAGGTCCTGTATGCACTTTAGAGTAATCTGCTGTGCTTGACTGATCACAAAACACCCACCAAGATTTCCCTAACAAAGTCTTTCCTTTCTGCCAAGGAAAGCAAAGATTTTCAGGAAATGGGAGATGTGACCTTGCCACCTCACAAACAGCTTGGGGGTCTCATGATGCTCATTTCAGCAGGGGGATGCTCGTGCCAGAGCAGATGTAGAGCCCTGTGTGGTCAGCGCACAGCTCTTCCAGCATCCCTTCCTTCATCAACTGTGTTGTGGTAAAACTAGAAATGGGCAAACTTTGTCTTCTCCTGCCTGTTTGCTGTGTTGCTGTAATTTCTACCGTGTCCACGTGCTGCTGTGTGAGCAGGTGTGGAATGAGGGATGCTAAGACTGAGAGAGATGAGTGTTGATAGGTGCATAACCCAGCTCAAACCACTTCTCCCACTCATGATTTCATCACAGCCAAAAGCTGTGCTTGAGCTGCTGGGCACCCTGTGGGCACCTAAAACCTAAAGGGAATTTTTAAGAGAGAAAGAAATGGCTCCAGAGAGCCCCATAACTCTTAAGCAAGTTTTTCTCTAAGACAGTCACCATTTCTGTTAAAAATAAGTCTTTCATTTCCCATTGATGCTTCTCAGGCTGCAAGGAGAGCCATTCTGCTGCTCCTGGAGGCTCTAGCTGCAGACACAGCCTTGGAAGGGAAGCTTGCTCTCATGGCTACAGCAGAGGAATGGGAAGCACGAGATCTGGCATGAAGTCCTGCTCCCATTGAAGCCAGTGGGATGTTTGCCATTGGCTTCAGGGGAAGCCAAGATTTCAGTCTGCAGCCAGATTTGCTGGTGTGCTGTTCTATCCTGAGAGCAGGAGCAGAGAGGGTTCTTGGTTTCCTGATAAAGCTCTTGCTGCCTCGGCTCCTCTGCTGCCTTCTCACCTCACACTCACCTCTCCTTGCTTTCAAATCTTAGGCCTCTTTCAAATCCTTGATGAAGAGACTGGTGCATGGTTTGTGCCTGTGGTATCCCATGATTGGAGCTCTTGGACATTCTCACCAGCAAAACCATCCTCTCCACTGGGGACTGTGGACAGTGCAACACATATGGGATTTGCTGCAGGTAAATAACTCTGCCTTCTTCTCCAGGCAGCAAATTGGATCAGCTCTAGAATTAACTCTGAGTGGTTCAAGAGAGTCTGGAAGAGATTGTAAAGATGGTCCAAGATGGGCTTCCCTGCTTCACACCTTCACACCAACATGGACTGTTGGGAACCTTGATAGTCTAAGCAGCCTTTTTCCTCATTTCCCTCTTTCAGGCTTAGGTGGGAGCCAAATTGTGTTAGTGATGAGCTGTGGTGGCAGTATTCATAAGCCTGTTAGTGAACCTTTCCCAAATTGCACTGTTCCTTTTGCCAGCCCAAAGGCTGCTGTAGTGACATAGGTGTTAATCAGTGCATTGTATAGAGCTCCACAGTGTTTGCACACCCAGCACCCACATCTGGGCACAGTTGGTGCCCTCCTCTCAAAAGCAGCCAAAGGAAGTGATCACAGAGTCGATCAAGATTCTACCAAGCAGCCCCAGTTTGGCCTGTATAGGTCCAAGCTGTTTTTATTTGAGTGGACACATGGTGGAATCTCTATATGCCAAGGAAAAGAAACATTGCAAATAATTCTTGCTCTTCATTTTTATTTCTGCCCGATCAGGACGGTCCTTTCTGTTCATCGTGTGGGATTGGTCTCTGCTGCCCCTTTCAGGGAACATCTGTAAGCACACCACATCTGTAAAAAAAGGCAAGAAGGTTTATCTGCTGGACCAAGAAGTTGTCCTGAATTTCCTCACCTCTCCAGGTGCCTCATGTTTTACAGCTCCTGCTCTTGGCCAGCTACAGCTTGTGTTCTCTGGCCACCTGAACCTGATCTCCTTCCTCTGACGCTTCCACAGAGAGCAGCTGCTGGGAGAGACTTTCTGGTGAGTTAAAACCACGGTGATGTATTTTATCTCTGCAAACAAGGAGTTGTAAATGTAGGTGTTTAAAGATGAGGTAATGATCATACAGAGATCCATAGCTAAGAGTTTTACTAAGATTTTCTCCAGAAAGTTGAATCAAAGCTACCTAGAAGTTGAGCTCTGGTGCAGGAGCGCACCCCGGTGTTACCCCTTTAGGCACAAAGATTTTTAGAGGCAAAAATACTCTTTGTTCTAATAATAAACGGGGAAGAACAGGGAGGAAAGCAAGGAAAAACCCGAACAATGCCATATTCTCTGCTGACTGCTTGCCATAGCTCTGCAGCACAATTTCCCATCTCTCTTCCACATCATTCTGAGATTGTTCCCCAAGAGGATTTTATCAGTAGATAAGTGGCTGCCTCTGAGCCAACTCTTTTCTTTTGATTCAGTGACTGGCACGATGTTTGTATGAACTCTAAACCATCAACTTGTTTCTCTCCGATTTTCTTTGCTGATATGATCCCCACCAGCTCTCACATTTCCTAGGGCAAGCACAATCAAGCACAATCAAACAAAACGAATCAGAATAAACAGAATTAGTGCTCATTCTTTCTTAACAACATGCCTGTAGGGGTTTTTGTCTCCCTTAGAAAATTCAATCCAGCTCCTTTCTCTCATGTTAATTCACTGTAGCTGCTTCCACAGGCTCTGGCTTACACTTAACAATGAGAGGAGAGGATTGTGCTTTGCTTTGAGCAAGAGCTCAGCATTTGTGTGTTTTGCATTTTAAGGAGTGGGGCAAGATGGGGGTTCCTTGATCCATTTCCCACTGATTATCTGTGGTATTCGCTCTGCTGCTGGTGATGTCCCTCTTGGGAACACAAAAGATGACACTTTGCACCTTTCACCTGCTGATGAGTCCCTTTAATTCTTCTAATGGTTCCTCTTCTCCTTTTTTTTTTTTTTTTGTTTCATATACAGGCTCTGATTTTAATGCTCCAAGCACAGGGTCCTGGGATGGCTTTCCCGGGATCCTGGCAGATTTAAAAGCCCAGCATCATGGCCAATATTGGTCCCATGTACCCACATCCCACACTGAGGGTGTCCTTGTGGGTGTGACCCAGCTTCTCATGGAGGAAACCACGGTGAATCTCCTTTCTGGCACCCAGGCCTTGGACCTACAAACTCTTCCCTGTGTGGTTGGTGTCTTTGACCATTCCCTGGGACTGTTTCCTGAAGAGAAAGAGCAGCATTTGGCCCTTGGCTTTTAGGAGAGTTTCCTAACACCAACCTCAAAACAAATGGAAACACTTTTCTCCCCCTTCAGACGAGGACAAAGACTGAGGGTGAGGTTTTAAGGCTAATGAAGCTTTTGGTGTGTCTTTTTTTTATTTTCCTGTCATCTGAGGAGGTCTCTGGCACTATGATAAAAGCCCTCGCTGCCTACTGGGGCTCCTCTCCTTGTGGTGGAAGTGCTCCTGAGAGACACTAAGGTTTCCCCAGAAGCACAAACCCATTCCATGGCTCCAATTAGAGAACATTTTCTGTGCTTGTTGCTAACAATGTTCTTCCTTGCCTTTGGCTCAGCAGGAATCAGATTAGTGACTTCCCAGGGTCCTTGAAACCCAAGGGAATTAATTTGTCTTTAATTTTGTCCAAGCTGATACTTAGGGGAATGGCTGGGAACATTGTAAAGCAGCTTCTGGGAGTGAAGAGTCCCAGCAAAGCATTTCCCAGCCCCTGGTGGTGATGCTCAGCCTGAAGCCATCCCATGCATGGAGATTCAGCATTGATCAGTGAAAGGCATGGCCCTGCTCCTCTTCCTTTTCCTTACATCAGCTGGATTTGGCCAGCTGTGCTGTGGTGGTAACGGGTGACTGGAGTGTGTTTGTGTCACTTTGCTGCCGTTCACAGCTCTTTTCAGTATTTATTGACAGCCAGACACATCGTTCATTCCTTGGTGGATGCTCATCCCAGCTTCCCAGGATCTGGGATGTCCTGACATGCCGTCATGTTGTGCAGCCTTGGGTGCAGCAATTCATTGCCCTGCAACTCAGGGAACCACTGTGCAATAGGAACCACAATAGCCCTGCTTGGCTGGGGATTTTTAAAGCACTTTGAGCTCCTTGGAAGGACCTGGGTAGGTGCAAACCTGTTCTGTTACTCTGAGGTTAAAGGTTACCTGAGATGATGGTTTGGAGTGAAAACATCAGCCAACAGAGCAGCTCATACATCCCTGGAGATGATCACTTCATGGCTTGGAATTTTCAGGGGCTGCTTTACTTCCCAGGTACTGGCAAGGCTGAGCCAGCTCTGGGCTGGGATCCTTCTGCAGGGCTGTGTGAATCCATCAGGGCCATGCTTAGCCTTAGCTTTTGCTGTAACAGTTACAAGTGATAAAGTATCAGTTTTCTCAATTTGCCTCCCCACAAGTTGGTTTGAAGGGAATGAAGGCAGATCCTGCTATAGCTTAGTGCATTACAAGCCAACTCAAATGACTCCCCACTGTCTTTTCATCTCCATGAGACTTTTAATGCCCTAAGTCTTTGCATGTCCTGGCACACAGCCCAATTGAAGCATGAGCTCCAACAGAAGTTTTACATTTAAAGCTGTTCTTTTGGCTTCAGAAATTTGCAGATTGAGGCTGAGAGAAGCAATTCAGCTGTTTACTTGCAGATCTCCACCAGTCCTGCTGCGCTCTTGCCCTCGCCTCGGTCAGAGTTGTGTTAACAGCATTTTCCAATTAAAGTAGCAGCTTCAGTTACAGAAAATGCTTTTCCTATCTGGGAATTTATCTGATTTTACTCTTTTTAAATTACTCGTGGAGCACAGGGGTGTTTTGTTTCCCATCCCTTATTATAATTAATCCATCATCTTTTCTGGTGACAAGGTTGGCTTTTGCTGGATTTTTAAATTTCTTGCCATTTCCATCAGCTTGTGCCAATACCACTCAGACTCCACATTACTGATCATGAGGAGACTGATGGGACCAATCAGGCAAATATCAAGTGGACAAGCAATTCCTGAATTTCTGCTCACTCAGAGCAGGAACAATGCCACCTGTTCTGGAGATAGCTCTGCCAGAAAATCTTTGAGCCATACTGTATAAATTGTAGCCACTTCTCTGTCTGAAATAGTCCTACTCTGAAAACTTGGCTTTCAAAACCTTCACAGCCAAGATCAAGGCTTTTTCCTGTTACCTGAAAATTCCAAGTTTCCAAGAGAATAGATGGTAGCAGTTGAAACCTTCATCTTTCTTCACAGTGATGAGGTAAGAGCTTCTTTTTTTCACTTCACCTCACTGAAAGGGACATGCTGGGCCCCATCCTACCTGTGGTTCAACAAGCTCAGCAAGGCTTGTCCTGTAGGAAGCAGTGAGATCTGACTCTGGGATTTTCACTCCAGCCAATTTTCCATTGTGGACAACACTGTGACTGTCTTCTGGCTGAACATGATTTTAACATGAGCATGGCAGTGCTTGGGCTGGGCCTGCAGGAACTGGGGCAGGACCAGATGCAGTGACAAAATCCCAGGATTCAGTGCTGACATCCTGTCCCAGGAGGCCACAAAGCCCCTCTGTCCTATGCCATCCTTCTGCCACAGTCTGAGCAGCTGCTGCTTGTGCCCACCACAGTGACCCTCAGACCTGGGAGCACCTCAGTTCTTCAGGACCCTTGAAAAGATGCTCCAACCACAGAGTCCCAGACAAGGAAGCAAAGCCTTCTGCTGCCCCCACGCGTTTCTTGCTCATTATTGTTGCCACACACCAGTAAACACCTGGGAACCCTGTTGGGAAGCATAAAGATGAGCCACGCAGCTATGGAGGTCAAGGATCTTGCTTTGGAAGACTCTTCTGTTCTTTCTGTTCCTCTCTCAAGCTCAGGGTGTTCCTTATACTCAAAAAATTGCAAAATCAGATCGGACCTGGAGGCAGCAAAGCACAGAGGTGTTCTGGTCCGACCCAGGACATGTGTGAGCCCTGGGAGCCTGCAGGGATGCTGAGCAATATTGGATATGGCACAGAGCATTCAGGAGTCTTGGCTCAGGCCACAAGGAGCACAGAGTGAGAGACAGCTCTTGGCAGGCCCAGCTCACATGGTAAGGTCATTGGAAAGACAAGTGATGCTTTCATCAACCTTCCTCTCCCCAGAATCAGCACCAGCTCGAGCAAGGGCTCACTCTGTGCTCCTGAAATATCCCGTGTTCCATGTAGTACCAAAGACTAAAGCTTCCTCACAAATACATTGAAACTGCTTTTTCCAACCGGTGTCCCAGCCCCCAGCTGCCATCCTTCCTGGCCCTGTCAAGTTCCAGTTTTGAACCACTGAACAGCACCCCTTGGAAGAGTCACTTTCTTTCTGGATCAGTGGCACCTCTCAAGCTGAAGGGAGAGCAGGCTGTAGTTGCTGGCTTTCTGCTGCTTCCCAGCACTTACAATTAGAGATCTTGTGGTTTTGTCCTGTGCTGGGGTAGCACATGCTAACTCTTCTGGAGAGCATCAATCCCAAAAGCTGCCTGAAGCCTGGGCTGACAGGTTGGTAGTAGCAGCCAAGCTCTCTCATGGAACCAGTTTGTGGCTGGGGGAGGTCCCAGAGCTGTGTTTCTGACCATCCCTAACATAGCTCCTTGGAATGGTAGGGCTGGCTCGTTGCCATCCTTTCACCAAGAACCTTTTTGGCATGGCACCATGAACAGATGGGCCATGGAACAATTCCTCAGCTCAGATTGTCCACAGACTGCCCTGGACACTGCCTAGAGCTCTCTGAGAACATCTGAAAGGAGCAGCACTCGCTGGCAGGGCTTACGTGCTCCAGCAATTGGGGATTGCAAACACATGCTTCAGCTATGCAAGAAATCTTTGACTTGTTCTGAATGCAATTCTGCCTGGGTTTCTTCCCAGGAACATTCCTGTTCTTCACAATTTACCAGTTGCAGGAAGGGAGAAGGGGGAGGGGGATTTTAGGAGTAAGGGAGAGGAAAGGGAACAAATCTCACAGTGCTTTCCCTCGCCAAATTTCTCCAGAAGGACAGGGTGTGGAACATGGACTCCAGAGCCTGGGACAGTCCCAAGAAAATATCAACTACAAAATTAAAACCACTTTTAATTAGTAATTTGTTTTTATAGAAAGAAGAAGTGTCTGTTTTTCTGAAGTAATTCAGTGCCTGCTATCACACATGCCAGGCAGCCCCTGCCAAACGGAGCTGTGTGATAGAAGGCAAGTCCAGAATGAGGGCTCTGAGCAGACACACGTTATCTCCTCCAGGAGACAGCAGAGCTGTTCAGATCTGCATTCTGCTTCCCCAGATAAAAGTCCCACTCCTGAGTCACAGCATACGTGAGAGAGTTGCAAATGTAGTCCCCGTAGGTGGGAGTAATTTGATGTCTGAGATGAATGATGAAGCTGAGCCTTTATTGTCACACCTGCTCTGTTACAGACAGGAGAGGAAGCGTGAGAGGGTGGAGGCAGGAGTTGTATTTCTGCCATGGGAGAAGCCAGAGGTGCAGGATACCCAGCTCCTCACACCCTGACTCCAGGGTGACAAATCCCTCTTCTCATGGAGGGACAGAGGCCACAGTGTGTGTCACCTGGGGGTGGGCTGGGGTCACACTGCAGTGGGTGGGGGAAGGCTGTACCCAGGCTGGGCTCTGAGCAGGGATCCCCTGCAGGGAAGATGTGCAGCTGGCTCTCAGTGCTGCTGTCACATGGGCTCTGTGCTCCTTTCCAGGTGTCACCACCTGAACCATCAGCTCCTTCCTGCAGCCCGAGATCCTTCCAGGGCAGCACTTGTGCTCCATGGCCGAGTCTGGAACCTGCTGAGCTACACAAGCTCCAAAGGGAGAAAGCCTTAAAAGAGACAAGGTGTAACCTGATGCTACCAAACATGCACTCTGAGTAACCTCCATAGCTCAATTAACTCTATTAAGTGTATACCTATAATTAATTTAATTTAGTTGAGGTTTTCTCTCCTGTGTTGGGTGCCTACTGTATCAACCTCTTAAAATTATGGCTTTGTGATTAATTCAATCAAATGTACATGCAGTACCCACACAAGCTGAGTCACTCCAGGTACCAGGGAGAGGTTTATTTTGTTGTATTTGGCTCATGCTTCTGACTTAACACAGGAGTAACTCCACTAAAATTGGTTGTGCTGCATTAGTCCAAAGCCAGAGCAGAGTCCAGCTTTTATTCATTATTTGCAGGAGAGGCATCATAATTTCTATAATGCCATGTCCAGAGTATGGGTGGGGTTTACTCCAGCTGCCTTCCCAGTCTCCCACTAGGGAGCAATTAAATGAAGGTAAAAAGGAATACTCATCTTTTTGTGTGTAGAATTCAGAAATATCAGCAGATTCCCATTGCCTCACAGTGCTGTATAGGAGCCTTTCCCAAATATCTGCTAAATTAAACAGGATTGATTGGTTGATATTAAGGAGATGCTGGAGAAGTTTCTATTGAAGTAAGTTTTTTCCCAAGGGTGGAGAGCAGCCTGTCACTGAGTGATCCAAAATCCAAATGAGAGGTTTTATTGCATAGCTTAGAATGCAGCTGAAAGAGAAGCAAAGAATGACACAGAGAATGTGTGTCTGACGCTTCTCACACTTCTGAAGTGAGCCTGAAGAAAGAGGGACAAATCCCAAGTGATGAGGAAAACTGCAATTCTGGTTCTGAGCAAGAGCTCCCAGGAATTGCAGGGACACAAGAGAGGAGCCCAGTTCTAGATTATTTGGAGAGCCCCAGCCAAGAGCTTCATGGAAGTTTTGATTCTTTATCACAGGGATTAACTCTGGGAAGCAGCTGGCATGGATATGAATTCCAGCTGGTGCCCAGCACCATGGACACACTGCTCTTTGGATTGAGTGAAAATGAGCAGACTCTCAGCTCTCTGCATTGATCTAAGGGCAGGAGGATTCTTCCTGAAATTCAGGGCACGAATGACCCTTGTGTTGGTTGAGTGTAGACAATGACTGAACCATTGAGCTCTCAGACAGACTCTGCTTGTTTGGGGCTGTGCAGCTTTCACAATCTGTCTGCTAACTACAAAAATATTCCAATTATTTGGAATGATGACATCACCCATGCAATTGACCTAGATCCAGTATCAGTACTCCTACAAAACAGTTATTTCTTGTTAAGCACTATAAAGGACAAGTAATCCAGCCCAGACTGAGCCCTGTCAGCAAAACCTGGTTGATTCCCCCACATTTCCAGCATTTCCTCAGCAGTTTATTTTCCAGGTTTGAGCAGGTTACCCTGAGTAACCTGGATCTGTTTGCCAAAACCTGATTATTGTGAACCTCAGTAGTCACAGAGAGGATCTAAGTGGCTCAGGAAAGGCATTTTGGCACCTTTCATCTACTCCCCATGCTTGTAGAGCCCTCTCCAGCACACTAAATCCATCATCTGTTGGGTCAGAAAGCTGCCTGAGCCCCAAAGTCATCTGCTCCTGGGATAATCTGGTCCAGGGATGGAGGGAAGGAAATCCTGTGACCTGCTGGGACATGGGGAGCTGGCTCAGCCACAGTCCTGCCTGGCCACTGTCCCACCACCCTTCCAGCCCTGCCAAAATCCCTCAATCCCTCGAAGGTGTATGGGCAGGTAAAAGCTGTGAAGAACAGCTGTTGCTTAAAGAAGTTGTTGGTGCATGTGGAGCCTTCTTTCCTCTCAGTGTGTCACATTTATCAGCTGTATCACATTTATCAGGTGCATCACATTTATCAGGTGTATCTAATGCAGTGGTAGCCAGACTGGAGAGGAAATGCTCTCCCCTCTTGCCTCCAGCACTGGGGTTGCACAGGGGAAGGCAAAGGGATGGCCAAGAGTGCACTCAGCTTTAATTTAACTTAAAAGCAGGTTTATCCATCACCTTTAGGGCACAGAGCAGCCAGACCCCAGGCTGAGCCAAACCCCAAGCTGTCCCTGCAGGATCTTCACCGTGGGCACCTGAAGGAGTGCCTGGTTAATTCTGACAGCTGGCAAGGAGGGCATTATTTCTCCTGTCCCTGTGTCTGTTCTGCACCCCAGAAAAGCTTCGAATGTAGAACTTGCTAACAGCGTGTCCTGAGCTTGTTTTTTTAAACATAAGCCATGAGTGAGGATGGGCCAAGGCAAACACGGCAGTATGGAGCACAGCTGGTCAGCTCTGCCAGCGGCTCCGAGGCACCGCACAGGGGAGAAACAGTGACAGAATGTAAGATTGACATATTGTGATATTGACATATTGTAATATCGACATGCTGTAATCTGTTTTTACATATTGACAAAGTAATAACTGAGATGTTACTGTAACACGGGGCTGTGTAGGTGTATGACGTGACCCCTTGTACCCGTGTGTGACGTGTCCCGGGGCAGTGACACCTCACCCATGGTTATACAGGTGTGTGACGTGTCCCGGGGCAGTGACGCCTCACCCGGGGCTGTTCAGGTGTGCGCTGTGTCCGTCTGTTCAGGTGTGTTACCCGGTCGCCCCGGGCGCGGTGCCCGCCGAAGGACCGGGGGGCTGCGGGCCCTTTAAGCGAGGCCCCGGCCCGGCCCCGCCCGCTCATCCCCTCCCGCCTTTCCCGGGCTCCCATTGGTGGGGCGGGTCCGAGGTCCCGCCCCTCGGCGCCGCCAGCCAATGGGAGAAGAGCAGGGCGAGACCGTGTCCAGGTTGGTGCGGGGCCGATGGCGGCGGGTCCGTGAGGGGGGCGCCGGGAGAGGGGTGGGAACCGGGACGTCCTGAGGGGAGCGGGACATCCTGAGGAGAGCGGGGCCCCAGGGGGGAACGGGATCCCATGAAGCGCTGAGAAGAGCGGGGCCCCAGTGGGGAGCGGGACACTCTGAGGGGATCGGGACCCTCCTCAAGTGCTGAGGGCGTTGGGGTACCTGGAGCGCTGAGGGCAGCGAGACCCTCGGAGGGGAGCGGGAACCACCGGGGGGATCAGAGCCCGCTGAGGAGCCGATGGGAGCGGGAGCTGAGGGGATCGGGGCACCCTGAGGGGAAAAGGACTCTCCCGAAATGCTGAGGGAATCGGGGGTCCCCTGAAGTGCTGACGGGGTCGAGTCCCCAGAGAAGTTTGGGGCAGAGTTCGCAGCCCCTGAGGACGGAGCTGTGTCGGGGGAGGCCGGGCTGTACCACAGCAGCTCCTGGTCCTGCTCCTTGAACTCCTCCGGCACAGCTGAGCCCGGCCCGCAGCTGTGGGTACCGTGCCCGGGGCCAAGGAAATGCCATTAAATCCTAGTGGTTTCACCTGAAGAATCCTTTAGGGTTAGATGGAGAACGTTAAGGTCAAGGTTCCATAACAGCGTGGGGTTTTCTAACCTATACCTGCCAACAAATTGTTTGTGGAACTGAGGACAGAATTAAAAAAAAAAAAAACCAAACCCGAACTTGCAGCTGTAGGCTGAGCAATAATTGAAGTGCTCAGGCAGGTTCTGGTCTTCATGCAGCAAAATGAAACCTTGTCATTCGGGTTGAAGTTAAGTGTAGCATGAGCTGTCCTTTAAAAAAAAAAAAAGAAGTGCATTTTAAAGAACTGAAAATGTGGATTCCTAAAGTGTAGAGATGTAAGGACCTATGAAAAGGTTAACTTTGCTCAGTTTTTTAATGTCTGTTGGTATGTTTTGACCATAATTAAAGACAGTTCACTCAAGTGACTGTGTTGCTTTTTTTATAAAATTATAGAATATAGCGTTTAAAATGTTGAGCAACGTAGTTATAGCGTGGTTTGTTCACAAGCAGACTAAAAAAAAAAATTGGAAGAAATCACTGATCGCTGCAGTTTGAGTACGTAGCTTTTCTAATATTGCTGTTAGAATTCTGAATTTGCCCCTGGGTACAAGAACCTTTGTGTGTGTGAGTGTTGCACTGCCAGCTTTCTGTGCATTCTCTGAATCTTTCATGCTGAGAAATGAACATCGGTCTTGAGGGAACTAAAAGTGTCTGGGTTTTGTTCCAGGGGCTGCAGGTGTGAAAGATGAGGCTGAACGAGAGCCGGACAAGACCCTTCCAGGCTCCTGCCACTGTGCACACCTTCCCGGGCAGGCAGGTGTACGTGTTCCCCAATGGCCGCTCAGACTCGGACGAGTCCTCGGAGGAGGAGCTCAACGTGATGGAATTGCGGCCCCGGGGCAAGGAGCAGCAGCGGGGCAGCAGCCGGGACAGGCTGGGGGACGTGGTGCTTCTGGAGAGGGAGCTCACCCAGGACGACAGCCTCAACAAGCTGGCCCTGCAGTACGGCTGTAAGGTGAGGGCTGCCTCTGCCTGGGGTTCATCACCTCACAGGGCTTTCCAGAAGGTGGCCTCTGGGCTGGTGGTTTGGACACTGGAAAGTGTTGGCCCTGTGTATTGTATGAATGGTCATTGTCCACATAAAACTGGAGAAAGGCAAAAAAAAAGCCCAGACAAACACAAAAAGGAGTTGTTTAGCCAACAGCCTGGGAAGATGTTGTCAGCTTCACACCCTGCCTGACCTGCTTTCCTGTTTAATTTCAGTGACTAAGTGCAGGTTGTACTAAGTTATTTCAGCCAGGGCAAACATTAGGGAGCTGAGTGTAGAAATGAGGGCCAGGCTCTGCTCTCAAGGAACATTGGAGGTTTTGAAGCAAATTGAACAGTACAAAGAAACACCACACTTATGGGTGAGATTTTTTGTTTATTTTTTGAAAGGTATCAGCTTACATTTTGCAAGGAAGGTCTGAGTCTAACGGGTGGATGTGGAGAGGTGCCGAAGTTCAGTCCCAAAGTCCAGGTGGTGTCTGTGTGTGGGTTTTGGTTGTTTGCTGTCATCCCAAAGCGTGCACAGTTCAGGTGCCTGTGGGCAGGAGGGAGGACGTGTGCACAGTGAGATTTCTGAGTTGGAGCAACTACACAACACATTTTCTTTGTTCCAAAAAAGAGCAAAACTGCTGGAGAGTTTAATTACCTGCTCTGAACATTAGAAGCCTGCTGTTATTTAGCAGTTTGAGCTGTATTTTTAGATCCCCCTTTATCTCAAGCTGAACTGTGATTTCAGACTTCCATGATGCAAACAATTGGCCAGTGACTGCAGCAGAGATAATGATACAGCTCTGGCTGCAGTGCTGCTATGCCATTGCAGTCTGTCTTGCTTAACCACACTGCAGCTGAGGCAAGAGGCCTTGGAGGGATTACAGCAATTCTTCCCCTCCCATGCCCTTAGAAACAAAAACAAAACAAAAAAGGCACCCTTGTAGTTTCTGCTGAGGAGCCTGATGCGTGTGGAGAACAAGTCTGGTAGGACTTGAATAGGCCTTGATTGGCCCCTGAGAAGGCAGAGCTGAGCTTTGGTTGGGTTTGGAGCTGTGTGCTGCTCTCAGCAGCACCTGGGCAGACTCACAGCAGTTGGGTGAACTCAGAGGAGAGAGATTCTGAACAGTTCTTTGGTTTATGGTGTGCAGAGTCCTGCTGTGCCTCTGCACTGTCATTCAGAGGGCCCAGTTCTGCCCCTGCCGTGGCTGCTCCTCTGCTGCCGCACTCTTGGAGCCTTTCAGCCCCTCTGGAGGCTGCTGAGCCTGCCCAGGGGAAAAGCAAGCTGATGGAAGGGACCACGTAGTCAGTGTTCTCCTCCCACAGGGATAAAAACTGTCCTGCTGCTCCCTCCCTTCCAGAAAGGGCACTTTTGACTTTTTCTAGTTAAACTGAGCAGGTACAGAAATCCTTATTGTAGGCGATTTGTCTCTTTGTCTCTTCAAAGACTGGCATGACAGTTTTCATGTGTTTTGTTTTATTTGCACAATTAAACAGCTCCTGAAAGGTCACTAGGATAACAGTGAGAACTGCAGCCTCAGATATATAGGCAAAAGTGTGTAAAAATCCAGGATGAACCTCTCCTTGAAATCAATGAGAACTTGACATGGGTTTCAGAATCTGCATGGGGAGGGAATATTAAGACAGTGCAACAAACAGTTCTCTGTGTATGCCACAGATAACTTGGCAGAGATGCAAAGCACTTCAAAATTCTCATTTTTACTCTTGACCATTTATAGTCCTGCTTGCTTTTGGCATTGTTCTTAGCTGGGACTAGAGGAGTTCACTGCAGCCAAAAAAATGAGTACAGAAAATAAGCCTAAATGCTTGTGCAGCCCAATCTCTCTCATGCTTCCCATCAGCTTTGTTTGTTGTTTCTGTGTGAATGCTGCTCCACTTTCTGTTTCTAGAGTCTTAGCACCACACTGCAGTATTTGATTGCAGACACCACGGGGGATATTTACTGTCCCAGTAATTTGTTTTCATTGGAACAAATCCAGAAATTGAAGCAGCACCTCAGTTAGGAGGCTCTGGATGAGATTGTTATTTCATAACTAAGAAATTTTGCAGGGTTTAAGTCCAGAGTTTATGCTGGGGCTGGCTGTGAGGGACATGAAGCAGTGACTGAGGATTCCTTTTGCCTCAGGGTCCCCAGATCAGGTCCTGGATTAAATGTGCCATTTTCAGAGTTCCCAAGCTTTGCAGAGTAAACATGAGATTCAGGCCT